TTAACCTAATGTAATAATTAACTGTATCCTGTTACAAAATTAGCAGAGATCTGGGCATGGTGTTGCACTCCTATAATCCTAGCACTCGGGAGGCTAACGCAGGAAGATTGCCAAGAGTTCAAGGCCAACTCGGTGAGTTCAAGACCAGCCTGAACTGCATGGCAAGACCCTGTCTCAGCAGATAAACAAACAAACAAGCAGCAGAGAACTTTAAACAAGGTAATTTCTTGTTAAGATCTCTGTTTTTATAAAAAGCAAAATAAATCTCAGAGAGATTCAGGAAACAAATCATAATCTTTCAATTCAAATCCCAGCCCTTCCCCACCCCTCAATGCCTTTTTATCTTTTTCCTTTTTACTGAGGGCAGAAGTAGGGTAAATGTAAAGAGAGAAACTCTGATGTAGTTTTCCCTGTGTGCTGGAAAATGCAGGATTGTCAGCATCTACTTGTATTCTTTGATAGGATTGTGGGTTTTCTGAATTTCTTGGCAAGGGGAGAAGATTGGTGGTGTCCTCTTCTGTCATGCTCTGTTTTCTTCCTGCCCTGCAACTTTGGTTGAATCTGGGACTTCCTTTGGGAACCTGGCCTGCCCGGCTCACTGTGGCATATCCCTTGCTGTAGCCTTAGACTTGGCGCATGATGGGCTCAAAAGTGCTTAAATAAAAAACATACATCCCAACTAGATTGGAAGGGACTGCTGTTCCACGACTTGCTGGTTGAAATAAAGGTTAAACTGAGGCAAGTAGAAAGGTGAATCTTTCCTGAAGTAATTATGGAGCTGTTTTTGGGTTCAAGGAGTTTTTTCTCTCCTGTGCATTATCATGAGATGGTAATCCTCACCCTGCATACTTTAAACTAAGCTTTTTTGGACCTAATAAAACTTATTGTGTCAGACAGCTTGTTACTTTTCAGTTTAAAAATATTCTTAGAGACAACTTGGCATATAATTGAGTCTGATTCTTGGAATGTGAGATTTAGCTTGGACAGGTTCTTTGCTAGAAATAACGGAATCCACTCCAGGAGCTTAAAGAGAAAAGGCTTTATTAAAGGATAGGTAGAGATAACTCTCAGCATCGTGGGGAAGGCTGAAGACAGAGGGTTAAGGATGAGCTCCCAGAAACAGCTCTCCAGGTTAAATCATAGAACTGAGCTGCCTTGGGACAGCCTGCCTTGGTCAAGGTTACAGAAGAAGGAAGCAGACTGCACCGTCAGGGACCAGCTGGTAGGCTGCCATCTGAGAGTCACGCTGCCAAGATCCAACCTAGTACAGTGGATGCCCCATACACCCCTTCTCTCCAAGTGTATCAGTCAGTTCCTAGTCAGAGCCACATCCCAGTACATCTGAAAAGCAGAACCTTAAGCACGTGAGAAAATCAAGGCAAATGGGTGTCCACTTCTGCTCACTAGCTTCTCACATGTGTATTGAGTGAAACACTCCATGATATCTGCCACAGTGTTTTCAACCTACCCTTTGCCTGTCAACCAGCATAGCAAAGAAAGAATTTTATTTCTCATTCAGCTGTCTTCTCATCTCTTCAAACTGTCTATCCACCCATCCATCCATCCATCCAATTTTTGTATTTTTTGTTCTTAAAAAATTCTTCAAAAAGTATAATCACAGTACCTTTATCATGCTAGCACTTTAACAATAATCCCTCAGTACTGGCAAAGCATCTACACAGTATAGAAGTTTCCTAGATTGTCTCATAGCTTCAAAAGGATCAGGCTGTACATAATGTTGGTTTTGGGCTTAAAATACCATTGATTGAGATGTCTCTTAATGCTTTTTTACTCTATAGCTTTTCTCTTCCCTCTTTCCTCTTCTCCCTTCCTCTACTCATCTTATTCTTGCTCTTCTTGCTCACATCTCCACCTCTCCCTCCTGCTCTTGCCCTTCTTTCTTTCCTTCTCCACTGGAGTTTGTTTGTTAAGGAAATGACGTCATGCATTTTACAGAGCTTTCCCCAGCCTGGATTTTGCTTACTGTATCCTCACAGTGCCCTCTGACATATGCTGTTTGTTTTTCCTGTGAACAAGCACTAAGATCTAGAGGCTGCTCCCATGTGGGTTTCACTTTCTGATAAGAATTTTTGAAAGGCAAGGTAAGACTTTCTGTAACCCCATTACACCTGTCATTTCCTCCGCATTTCCTAGCTATAATACTTCCAGGGTGAGAAATTGTCCCTCCTCAACTAATTGACTTTCCCAAAATATGTTTATACAGTAAAAGAAGAGTAATTTTTTATTTCTTACTTTCTCCCTAGTTTTTGGTATCAGTTTTCAGAAAATGAATCGATTCCCTAGCATCTTTTAAAAACTAACTCGGTTAGATTGGTCAAGAAATTCTAGTGTTCTATGCCAGTGAGTAAACTTTGCTTACAATAATCTATGTTTTGTAAATAACTAGAAGAGAAGGGTTTGAAGACAAACTAATGATACACAGTGGGAACATTAGTAACTCTGACTTGGTTAGTACACATTTTATCTGAATTGAAAATCACATTACACTTCATAAGTATGTCCTGTCACTATATATTAATCAAAACATTTAAAAATGTTGAAGGTAATGGCGTGAATAAGTAAATATTAAGCAAGTTTGTGATGCTAGTATTATGACTTAGTGGTTTAAGAGTTGAGATCTGGGAAAAAATCTAGCTTGAATACAGTTTCCTTAGCTGCCTTTAATTTGCAATGGGTAGTTTCTTCCTGTGTGGGAGGGTGCTAACACAGAGAACATGGCTTTGTTCCATCAACTGTAATACGAGTGAACATGTGGACTTTCATACCCCCAGAGGCTGCCATGCCATCACCAGGTCAAGGTGATGTAGATAGTGGTAATCTGATGAAGGGTAAGAGGTCTTATCTAGGGTCCAGAGGCTTGGGCTTGCATTCTACAATAACCCCTGCCAAACCATGCTCACTTTTAACCTTCTTTTTTTCTTCTATAAACTACTTATCTTTCTGTGCCTATTTCCTCATCTATAAAAAGCACAGAGTATACGGATGTGAGTGAATATTTGAGGTAGAGAAGGGCAGTTAGCTTATGCTTGGTAACAAGATTTATGTGAGTGTCCCTCAGGCAGACACAAAATACACACACAACCTAGAATATCTGCGCTGACTCTATCTTCATCTCACCCTAGTGTAGTCTTGTATCTGGCTGTCAGAGCAGCTCTTTTAAAGGGCACCATGTCTCCTAGGCCCAACATCTTTCCTCCTCTGCCACAAGTGGAATCTCCATGATTCTCACCCCTTTATTGATCGGATAGGGGCCTTCAAATGTTAGCTCAGAGCAGTGGTACATTATCTAACCTACTGACCACTGGTTAAAGTGGTGCTGTCTGACTGGATTGGGTGTCACCCTTGAGCAGGACTGTTTGAAAGGGCCTGTTGTGGTTTAGATCTACAATCACCCTAAAAGCCTTGTGTGCGGGGAAGAGGATTTGATCACGGGAGGTTCCAGCTAACTTGCTGTTAGTGGAAGGTGGACTGGCTGCAGGGGAGTCACTGTGGTTTTGACCTGGAAGAGTGGATCTTCCTTCCTCATCTCTCCCTTCTCTCTGCTTCCTGGCTACCACGACATGAGCAGCTTTCCTTTGCAGCAGACCCATTCTGTGTTTGAGGTGGCCAACTGTGCAATGAATCCTCTAAAAATTGCGAGCCCCAATAAGTCTCTCCTCTTTTAAACTGTAGGCGTCCTGTATTGTATAGCAGCAATGAGAAAGTGACTAAGACAAGGCCACAGTGTGGCTCCTTTTTCTGATGAATGAGAAACCCCAAGAGGTCTGGAGGAGGCCGTGAGTCAGCCTGGAGGCTCCCACTGCAAAGGAGGAGAACGAGAGAAGGAAACCCAGCGGCACTTCACTAGTGGACCGTTTTCATCTATCCAGTATCTCTTCCATCTTGATTTCATTTGGGAAAACTGTCCTTCCCTCTGTACATGTTCTTATTAAGATTTTCACTGAAGTTTTCTCAAAGGCAAGGGTCAGTAAATGACCTGAGGTGGGCTAGCCAGAATCCAACCCTGGGGGGAGCAACTCAGAGAACTACGGTACCTGAGAAGCGTCCATCTCAACGGCAGTGCTGCAGAGAGATGGTCCCACAGCCTTGATCCTATCTCTAGATATACAGAGCCTTCCTGATTTCTGGCCTTCCTGAGCTTGATCTTAGCTTTTTTTGCCATAAATTTGCCTGCTCTACCCACCTTAAATTAGATAGATTTATTTTCTGTTGCTTGTAACCTAGGATTCTACATAGTCAATATCAAAATTGGTTACTACCGTGATTTAACCCATTTCCTTCAGTAGGAGCTGAAAAACATCTGAGATGCATTAGTAATGACCTCGCCAAAGGCATTTATAGCTCTAGTATTTCAACTGGAACTTTAGGGGCTGGTCTCTTTTTTCACTCTGCAAAGAATTTAACAGCCTATATAAGTGGGATTCTGGAGACCTGCGAGTTACTAGGAAACATAAACAAATAAACAAACAAGCAGGAGAGTCGGCACATTTCTTGTTTTCTTTGTCTCTTGTGGGCCACTGTTTCTCATACTATTTGGTAGAATACATTCTCTATGAGAAGGAAAGACATTTTATTTTCCCCGTTACAAAATGATGAATGGCTATTTCAGAAAACACCAAGAGGCAAAAAGACGAAAACCAAAACCATCCATCACCAGATAATTACTTCTTAATATTTTACTGGCTTTTTTTTTTTTGTGTGTGTGTGTGTGTGAGAGAGAGAGAGAGAGTGCGAGAGAGCGCTCTGGATTGCTGGCTTTCAGGCTTTCCACAGAACTTGTTATGCCGGAAGAGTTGTATAAGGTTTGAAATGACCTTCAGTCTAGGAGGCCTTCTGCAATTTCTGTCTCCAACAACAGTTGTCCTGGGAGAATTTGCACATTAACCTTTTTTTTATCAATACACTTTAATCTTATCCTGGTACCAAGCCTACAAAGGTATGCTAATGTCCTGGATGTGACTATAAAACTCTTTCTTCAGCAGGTTTCCAAGTGCTGAGACGTCTAAGCCCAGCAATGTGCGAAGGGAACCAGGTTCTGAAGAGCGCTTTGCTTTACTAGAATACAGATACTCTCCTGAGTAGTAGAATCAGGTAAGAATGATTGTTTTGTTGGAGAGGGAGGGAAGAAAGGGAAGCAAGAGTCACCTTACTGTGTCAGAGATCTTGAGAAAATCTTAAAGCTTCCGCTTAATTTTCATAGCTTTCAAAACCCAGTTTTCCAAATTGTTACTTTTTACTGACACCTTGAAAAGCAGGGACTCCAGTGTGATAAACGATATGTTAAATAGCTTGCTATTGTGTCACTAGAGTCTCATCACTGAGCTTGTAGGTTGTGACAGATTAAGTGGGAATAATTATGAAATCTAGAATCACTTCAGATGTAATCATGGGCTCAGCTCTTGAAGGTGCATTTACATTCTGCTTCGTGCTCAAGTTCACATTTTAATCTTCAAGGAGAAATAACTAGTGCTGACCTACATTCTGATTTCACTAAAGGTGATGGTAAAGTTAGCCAACATAGTTTCAAAAGATTATTAATGTCTTGGTTGCAATTGTGGCAGCTAAACTGAGTGGTGAAATGTGTGTGGTAGATCATTCAAGTCTGAGGAAGAGGTAGAAATTTTTATGTAGAATCAAATGCCATTGTTGTCTTATCTAGAAGGTTGGCAGTGGTTATCCGTTTGGTAGAGCAAAAACTAGCCAAAAAAAAAAAAAATCTATGTATCTCTATAGCTATATACAGTATATAACAAAATTAAATTTCATGTAATAAAAGTACATATACATATATAAATTTGTACCACCAATTTGATACACAGGCTGGTATTGCATGACTACATTTACACACACAGTCTTTGTGTTGATGCTGTGGGTTTGGGACATCCAGTTGTTGGTCATCTTGGCTTGGAAGAAGGCTCATAGAAAATAAAGCCTTAAACAGGAACTGGTGTAATGGTTTTGAAGTTTTCTGTGGGAAAGCAGCTACAGTCTAATACGTCCTTTTAGTTATCAAACTTTTAGAAGTATGTCTTTGGTGTGCTTTGGGATTCCTGGGACTGATGATAGAAGTTGGGAGGAAGACACCAGTGGAACTAGTTTTGTCCTAAATTTGAGATTGTGGTGATTGTGGTGGCGATAAAAGGATGAGGAAAGTTTTCCAGTACCCAGGAGATGTAAGGAGATGTCCAGTATCTCTGATCAACCTCATTCTGTCCTACCTCTGAAGAGTTTGCTGTCATATTGATGTTTTACCTCTAGACCTAGGATTGCAAAATCAAATGCCTGCATAGAGCAGGACCTGATTTAATGGGATAAGGCCGGCTGGTGATTAGCACATTGTGATTAGCACATTGAAGAGTGCTTGCTCTACCCAAACAGAACAGTAGCTGCTGCCATATTTTGACTGTGAGAGAAAATGTGAACTTTCAGATTTATAAATGCAAACTCTATCTTTACAATGAAACTATACAAATTGTCTTTTAATTTTTCAAGTAGGTGAAATTGAAACAAAACAAAAGGTTGCTTGGGCCATGATGTTTAGCAACATCACAGGCACAAGGTCGAGGAAAGGTCCTGGAATCCCAAGTGCATATTATTGCTCAGATATCCTAATGCACGAGTTAGGAAAATGGACTTTGAAGATCTCATCTCTGACTCTGATCATCCCTTAGCATTAGCTTCTTATAATTCCTCTTTCAAAGACAGGGGCACCGAGTCTTTGTTACTCTGAAACCTAATGATAAGCGCTAGCATTTTGAACACTTACTACATCCTGTGGAAGAAAGTAAGTGTTACTTGCATCATATCATCTTATTTTTAGAGAAAATCTATGAGCCACGCTCTAGAATTATCATCGTATCCCTATTTGGAGATGGAGAAACAGATTGAGTATTGAAGGAGGATTTCCTAAGGTGATCCAGTCAGTGGCAGGAGTGAGACTTAAGCTGGAATTAGATTTCAGTTTCTAACCACTATATTATACTTCTTATTGCAGTACATGAGATTTTTAGCTTTCATAGCCCCCCTCTGAAAGCTGATTTCTCAAAAACATTGAGAGGAACCTATAAAAAGTGCATTTACACAGCATAGAATGCAACACGAGTGGGATAATTCTGATCACCGAAAGAGAAATTTTAGTAACACCTGAGACTAGAAATGCCAACCCCCTCTCCTATATCCTCTCCTCACCAGGTAATAATTGAAAATTAGTACACAAAGACCAAAGTTATAGGCTTCAGCCTCCATCTGGAGAAGATAATTTTGCTAAGGACATGGAGTATAGCTCTAACCCCAGTCACTTTTCTCCTGCACACAGCAGTGTGTGTGTAGCAAGCATCTTTTCTGGCAGCATTCCTGGCCCCGGCCTATGTGCAGACCCATCAGCAGCCATCACTGTCATAAAGGAAGCAGTACCCTTGAGTCAAGAGGAGGAAATAGATTTAACTCAGCTGCCAGAGCCAAGTCCTAGGTGGTGGTTGCAGGAGGAGTGTTGTGCTGTGGTTTGCAACCATACTCGCACCTTCTCAGAATGTGTTGTGATTGGCTGGGCTTGGCTGTCATGGGCTTGAAATATGGAGCTAGAGGTAGGTGCGCTCTACTTCCCAGCCTTGGTGGAGTCTGTTAATTAATATGAGAGCGCTAATTTCTATTACCCTTGGGCAGTTTGAAGTGCATGCATTTTAATTTGTGACTTGGCCTTTTTCTTCCTCTCTCATGTTTCTTCTTCCATTTCTGCTTCATCTCAGGAGAAATGGCGAAGCGCACCTTCTCCATGCTGGAGACATTCCTGATTTTCCTCCTTGTGATGATGACTGCCATCACTGTGGCACTTCTCAGCCTCTTGTTTATCACCAGTGGGACCATTGAAAACCACAAAGGCAAGTGTCACTGGCCCTCTGGGATACTTTTGCTACATCTGCAGAAAATTTTTTGATTACTGGGGATATCAAGACAAGATGTCTGCTGATAGCTCAGTGTGTACTTCAGTGGTTTGGATGGCCATCTTTGTTTCCTTTAATTACTCTTCTTGCATTGATAGCAATTTTTATCAAGTTTACCTTTGCTCTCAAGTAGCCTATTAAAAAGCACATGACCATATTTGCCTTTAGCTTTTCCATCAACTTAAGCACAAATCAAGATTGTTCAGAGCCCAGCAATATCAGCTTTTGCTCCCAGCCTCTACTCTTTCCCTTTATTTCCTTGTTGGCATCATTGTTTCCTGGAGACAGAAGAAGAACAAAATATTTGGTCTGTGGAAATATCATACCACAGTGATATATGTGCACCCATGTTCACAGCAACATAATTTGTCTTAGCTAAATCTTGGGAATAACCCAAATGCCCATCAGCTGAGGAATGGATAAAAAGATGTGGTATTTTTATACAATGGAGTATTGTTCAGCTGTAAAAAAGATAAACTCAAGGCTTTTATAGGTAAATGGATGCAACTAGAGACCATACTCATAAGTGAACTAAATAGGACCCACATGTGTAAACATCATATTGTCTCCTTAGTTTAAGAACCTGAAAGAGTAAATAAAACCCCAAACATACAATAGATAATATGAAAGGGAAAGAAATTGCTCAAAGGAAGGAACAACTGGGATGAGGGACAGAAGAAAAAGAAAGAAAGAAGGAAGGGTGCATATATATACATACATACATACATATACATATATAGGGATAGCTAGGATAACTGTACTGCTGATGGCTGGTAGATTATTGAAAGCTTTAAAGAAGCAAGCCTCAGTCTCAAATCCTTATGCAGGGCAATCAAGCTCTGTAAATAATGTAGAGTGAAGAGAGAACAGTATAGGAGCAGGTGCAGTTCTGCAGAAGGGGGTCTACTCTCCTGAGTGCTTGTTGTCCCAGTGTTTCATGGTCTTAGATCTCCTGAATTTTGAAGAGAACTTGAAAACTGGGATATTTTTGTGTGTGCTATTAGAAACAAATGTAATTTTGAAACTATGTGGAATACATCTACAGGTAAAACTGGTAGTGGGTCTATGATATACATAGTCTCTGTTCAGTGTTAAGGTACATACTTGTGAACTGAGAAGACAGGTAGGGATTGTGTGCTTTGACCAAAGTGAAGGGAGAGGTGGCTTCAGACAAAATGAGATGGAGAGGGACTCTCCCCCACCCCCTCCATACTAGGGATCAAACCCAGGGAAGCTACCCTACTGAGCTCCACCTCCAGTACTTGTTATTTTTCATTCTGAGACAAAATCTTGCCAACTTGCCCAGGCTGGACTTGAAATTGTGATCCTCCTGTCCTACCCTCTCAAGTAGCTGGGATTACAGGCATGTGTCAACACTCCCAGCTCAGAGGTGGAATTTTTAAAATTAGTTTTTTCTTTTGTGGCCTCTTCTCTTTCCCAGCATATTCTCTATCATGTCCTGGCTCAGGACTTAGTTTTAGCTCCCAAAATTAGAGACTCAGGGAGGTTACTAATAATTATACTCATAGTATCTCACAGTAGTAATTACTCTGGTTTATTTGTATGGAACAATATAGTAGGGCTCTATACCATTTTCTCATCACAAAACTCCTATAGAGGCAGGAATTTGTAGTTAGTTATAGTGCCCTTTCACAGATGGGAGACTGAGAATTCGAGATTGTGAAGAAGTTGCCCATGGCTATGTGCTAGGTTTGGCTTTAGTTGGTATCACATTTCTGTGTTGGTAGCTGTGAGGCAAAATCAGAAATATTGCTTCTCTCCTTGCAATATTTGATGTTGAGTAGAAAATGTGGATCTGGGGATAGGACAGGTTTTAACTTCACATAGAATTTGGTGGAAAAAGCATTAGATTGTGCGTAAAGACCTGGTTTGGGCACCTGACTCATGTTCTTTATGAAATCTTACTTAGGTCACTTCTTCAAGTTTTATTTTCCTTGTCAGTAAAATATTTTTTTTTGTTTGTTGGTTTTTGTTTTTTTTTTCTGGTACTGGGAATTGAACTCATGACCTTGCACTTGCCAGGCAGGCGCTGTGCTGCTGAGCTAAATCCCCAGCCCCTTGTAAAATATTTTTAGCTCCGAAATGTTAGAATCCCAGAAGTTAGCTGTAATTCCTTTGATACTTTGTGACCACTAATGCCTTGTCACACTGACTGCTCTTAGGTATTGTTTGGGGCTTGAAATAAACAAACAAACAAGCAAACAGATATATATTATGTATATATTATAAATAATATCTAAATATGTAAAGAAAATGAAAGCTGTGTAGCAGCCATTGTTCTAAGGTTTAAAATGTACCAGCACATTTGTTGTTCAAAAGAACCCCAGAAAGCATTTATATTGTGTCCATTACATAAATGAGAAAACTGGGACAAAATAAGTAAGGCAATTTGTTTGATTACTGGTAGAGTAGGATTTCAAACTCAGGCAATTTGTTTTTAACATTTGCCTCTTGATCGGAATGTCACTGTGCCTCCTTGACATTCGTGTGTGTTTAAAATACAATCTGTGTGCACACACACGCCCCTGTGGGTATGACAGTGATTAAAGTGGGATCACATCCCCAAGTTCACAGGGATCCAACGGCACTGCCAAAAGTCTCTAGAAGACCAAGAAGAACCAGAGCACAGCAGACACAGCTGTGGCGTCCGTGTGAAGGCAGTAGTGGAAACGGGCCGGTGGAGAGGAATGGAGTGAGGGGTCTGCAGAAAGAAAATGGAGGGAACAAGTTGCCAGAGTTTGGATTTAGCGGGTTGTATGGTGGGAATCTGGGATCTGTTTTGTTTCTTTGAAACAGAAAAGCAGGGGACGCAAATGGCATGAGTGAGTGTGACGACGAAGCACTCATGATGGGAAGTTGGAGGATATTTCACAAAGGCCTAGAACTGTTAGTCTTAAACATCTCTAGTCCAGGAAGAAGATCCTACTTCGAATCATGATTTTAAACAAGTTTATGTGATGTTTTTCAGTGTGTATCTTATTATCAGAGAATGGACACAGATTTTTTTTCCTTAGAAACCTGAACCTATGTATTTTAATGGAAGCAGACAATTAAGCCTATTGAGTTATTGTTCTCAAATATCTTACTCTGTTTTAGATTCAGGAAGCCATGATTTCTTAACCACTCAACACACCCCAGCAAGCGAGTGTCCCACAGCCACCCACGCCTCTTCAGCGACCCCAGAGCCTCCTCTCTTTCAGAACTTCAGTGGCTACCATATTGGTGTTGGGCGAGCTGACTGCACAGGACAAGTATCAGACATCAATTTGGTAGGTAAATGATTTTCTTCAGGAGAAACAAATAGATTTTGTTATTTTGCTTCCTGCATTCATCCCTGACTATTACATCATCATCTCCTAGCTTTTCAATGGACTCTGCCGTCTAGCACAAAGAATAGCATCCTATAAGGAAGAGGAAAGCTTTTAGTCAACCCAACTCCTTTGTTTTTTCTTAAAAATTTTTTTTTTGATTTTTTTTTTCCAGTACCAGGAATCGAACTCATGACCTTGCTCTTGCCAGGCAGGCACTGTGCTGCTGAACTAAATCCCCAGCCCCAGCCACAACTCCTTTGAAAAGTGAATTGATCAATCAGTATGAGTAGAGCTGTGAGCTCAAGACTTCTTTATTATAGGGTTTTGTCAAGACAAACCAGAAAATCTGTGAATTGAAGGTTTAAGGCTTTAAATCTCTCACTTGAAAAATGCAAGTGACTGCAGTTAAAATTGGGAATCTAGTGTTGGCCAACATCAAGCAACTTCTGTGGGTCAGGGTAGTGTGCTGTCTGCCGGCATGTAACCTTTTGGGTAGTTCCTACTGGAAATGCCTAGATAGAAATGCTTATTTATGTCAGCACCTCCCTAGGGAACCACAGTTTGATATTGTCAGATGGGATTTGTTTTCACTTAGCAATTAATCTTAGATTCTAATTGTTCCAAGCTGTCTGATCTAAAAAGTTCTCTGGCAATGTGAACCCTAAATGAACACTCTCAAGAGGGGAAGGCCGACAGGGGAGGGGTGTTCTAAAGACCTGAGTATAATTTTGATGTGTGAGTTTTATGACGTGGCCAATGCAGGGGCTTGGAGTTGGCCTATGTGACTGATTTGGCTGAACTCCGTGAGCAGTAATGTGGTAAAAGCCAAGATGGCATTTTCCTCAGAAAAAAGAAATCACACACTAAACAACCAACACGGAGGCATGTCCAGTCTTCATGATGTTCCTCAGCCGTGTGGAGCTTGAAGAAGAAAAACAGGAAAAAACTTCCATTTCAAAGAACAGAGAGGCCCCCAAAGGCCCAGAGTGTAATAATCATTATTCCGAAATTCTATCCCAAGCCACATCAGCCCCCTCCCTGCCCTAATGCATGAGAACACATTCTGCCAGTCTGACCCATCCTGTGCCTTCACATTTTTCTGCAAGATTTAAGTTTCTATTATTATTTGGTGTATTTATTTATTTATATTTTGGAAAATACATTTCATCGCACCTGGAGCCACAGTATCATATAGATTTTATCTTTGTCTCTCTGAAGAAGTCTATTCTTGTACATTTGTGCCTGGCTGCTGGTATCACGGGAGAGAGACAGAATGGCCCTGAGTCTCGTTTTCTCTTTAGATGGGCTATGCCAAAGCTGGTCAGAACGCACAAGGCCTGCTCACGCGGTTGTACAGTCGTGCTTTCGTCATGGCGGAGCCTGATGGGTCAAATCGAGTAGCTTTTGTCAGCATTGACATCGGCATGGTGTCCCAGCGCCTCAGGCTGGAGGTAAGTAATTCAAAGGTGAAAGACGTAGCACGATTTGAAGAAAAGTCTGTGGGTCAAGGCGACTGGAATTAAGCACTCCTGGTTTCTCACCAGTGAGTTTCTATTGCCTTCAGCAGTTTGATCTTGCCAGTCCAGCAGACAGTTGTACAAGGAAAATGATCTTCATCATTGCATCTAAGTAATCTTGATCAAAACTGTTTTGGGTAGAAGTTTCTTATGTTCCAGGTAACCTTCCTATATATTTGCTCATTTAATCATAGAATGCCTATTAGTCACTAATCTCCTATCAAGTTCTTAGACAATTGAGAATAGTTGCAAGGAGTTAGTGATTAAGAGTAAAAATGCAACACTGATCATGTCAGCCATGGCTTGGTAAGTGTGGAAACTAGGAGAAAAGCCCATGGGGATTAAATGTGTTGCTCTGGTTGTGTTTGTATTGTTACCATCTGGCTGGTGGGTTCTTCTCTCAACCCAGAAAGAACTGCAAAGCAGAGAGTCAAAAGCAGACTGAGAAATTATTGTAGCGCAAAAGCAGAAGGCAGCATTTATTGTAGAGCCCTCGGTTACTGAACCTGGTGGGGTGGGCTGAATATGTTGTCAAAGTGATTTTGTTGAGGGATTTTTATACACAAAAAAGATGGGGCTGGGGATTTGGCTCAGCGGCACAGCACCTGCCTGGCAAGTGCAAGGTCCTGAGTTCGATTCCTGGTACCGGAAAACAAAAACAAAAACAACAACAACAACAAAAAAGAATACATCTCAGCCAATTTGAGATCAACCTGTAAGCAGGAGCTTGATTTAGACGTGGGCCAATAGGAACTCGGGGCATGTACCGGGCATACTTTTGTAAGCACCTTTAATTGTAACTTTAAACAGAACAGAGACATTCTTCAGAGAGGTCTGACTTATTTTGGAGCAAGAAAATGTCGCCTATTCAGTGAGGCCTTTGTTTGTTGAGCCTCCAGTGCCCTGGCCTTGGCTGTCATGTCCGTCACTGACTCTTTCCTGCTCCCTCCTAGGCGTGGCTGTTTTTCCCGGGCTGTCTGTCCGCTCTGTAACACTCTTGGTCAGGACATGTCCCACGCTCCCCTCCCCTGAGTGTCACTCTGAGAAATCCCCTCCTCTTCCCGCAGGGTCCTGCGCATCCTCAACATCATGCTTTACAGAAACTGCTCGTGTAGGTAACTGTTGGGTACTCCTTGTTAGGTTAGGACAATGAGGGCCAAGCCTTAGGGAGCAGAACCTAAGCCCAGCCGCACCAGCGTGAAGGGCTAGTGGTTCATTCTCCCAGGTGTCTGTTATCTCCTGCTTCATTTCCCCCCTCCAAGGATGTGCCAATACTGCTGGAGGAAGGGCGAGGTCTTTTGTTATCTCCCTGTTTCAGTTGGAGTTTGAAATTTTCTGTAACGAAGATTATGAAACATCAACTCTCTTAATCTTTAAACTCTACTATAGAATTTGCCAGATTTTTCTATGACTTTCTCCAAATTTAGACTTTGTTACCCACCTTTGGGGACCACTGAGCTTAGTAGAAAAATACTTGGACACTCCTAGGGGTCTGTGGCCTGTAAAGATCAGAGAGAGAGAGAGAGAGAGACAGAGAGAGACAGAGACAGAGAGATGGAGAGATGGAAAAAAAGAGAAATAAAGAGAAAGAGAAGGAGAGAGGATAGGGAGGGAGAGAAGGAAGCAGGCTAGCATAAAGTAATAGACAAGGACTTTCAGTTCTACCTAAGTTAAATTTGAAGCCCTCATCCAGCCCCATTTCTCTGTCTACAGTTAGATCACAAGCAGTGAATGTGCTCCGTTAATGCTCACAGATCCATGAATGTGAGAAAGCACAGAGGCGGGAGCCCCACTCAGAACAACCACCGCGAATGTGGGCTGTGCGCTGCCCTGTGTCAGCCCCACCTAATAAACACTGCTGGGTGAAGGGGCTGGTGAGGTGCGATGAGGGGTCTAAGGCATCACTGCAGTACCCCCCGTCCTGGCAGTGAAGAGGAAGCATCTCCTCCGTGGAAAAGGAGCTTTCCTCCCTCCCATGCTTACAACCAGACACTGAGGGTTATCCTCATATTATGGAAACAAGGTAACTGTGTCTTAAGAAGGTCAGTAACTTTCTAAAATTCAGACAGATTAGACTTGGGTTTTAAGCACGTATGCACCTAACTCCAGAACCCATGTTTTTAAAAGAGATTCTATTTTTTAGAAAGTAAAATGCCTGTATCACTTGCCTTTTGCAAGGTATTTTGTCACTACAGGGGAGACGCAGCTACGTGAGTCACACCCAGTGCCCGTGAGGTCCCTATCGGGCTGAGGCGCAGGAGGACGAACTGTAACAGAAACACAGTTAACTCACCGAAGTAACGTTCAGTGATGCATTACTATTTATAATTTATCCCAGGGTATAGTGCTCAAAGCAACAAATGCCGTTACACCACATGGTCTGTGGGTAAGAGATTCAGGACCGAGTTGGCTAAGTGGTTGTGTTAGGTTCGCTTACAGTCAAGATGACGGCAAAGAATGTGGAAATCTGTAGTGTGACTCAGGCTGCGGGATCCTTCCTGCAAGGTTCACCCCTGTGGTTGTTGGCAGAAAGCCTGTTTCCTAATCCCTTTCCCTTCTGGGTTCCCTCAGAGTAAGTGACCCAAGACAAACAGCAAGGAACAAGTCACAGTGCTTTTTATAACTGTGATTCATTACTCTTACTCTTAATGATTCCATTACTCTGATTCCATTACTTTCACCCTATTCTGTTAAGCAGCTCACTAGGTCCAGCCTACTTAAAGGTAAGAAATTTAAGCTTTAACTCTTAGAGGGAGAAGTGTCACAGAATTTGTGAACATACAGTTTTTTAAGACCATCATCACTTGGTAATTCAGGAAATGGAATTAGGAAAGTATTTTCATAATGGAAGTAACTCGAGGGCAGAATTTGAAATGGTTAAAATGGGCAGGGAGAGAGATCAGACTGAAGGGACAGCGTGCACACATAGAAGTGCAAAGGAGGGACTTAGATACTTTTGTAGGGAACAGAGGAGTTCTGTTAGGACGTGTGGGGACACAGTTAGAGATGTATCTGGAAGGTGTGTATTGGTCATAATTGTGGAGGGCCTGGGGTGCCAGGTTGTTTTTAACTTTGTGAATGGGAGTCTCACAGAACTTTTCTATGTGATATGGTGGAGTGATGTGAACACAGTTTTGCTTTAGGATAATCGATTAGAATAAACTGGAACTAGAGGTGAGGACATGAGCAGATTCTTTAGTATTGAGGCACTGTAGATGGGGGTCTAGTTATGAAAACAGTAATCATACCAAGTATTTCAGACAAAGGGCATTTAATACAGAAGAGCTTTAGAAGGCATTGGAGGTCTGAAAGAACAACAAACAGAAACGAGAGCTGCAGGAAGGATTATTAAACATTGCCTGACAATCTTATCTGCATCGTTTGAGGTTGGCATAGAGGCCTTCAGTGGGATGGCAAGAGACCTCACTGTGATAGGAGATGAAATTAAATGCTAATGAGATTTGTGGAAGAATGAATGTAAAAGCTTACATATAGTACTCATGATAATCCAAGTACTGTTTTATAAATAAATGAATATATATAGTTTATATGTGCATAGATAAACTTACTAAAATCTTGAAACAACTCTATGGGGGGAGTTCTAATATTATGTGATTAGATGAATTAGGAAACCAAGTTGAAGAGGATGGAGTGACTTATCCAAGGTTACATAGGGAGGGACTGTTAGAATTGGCACTGAAACTTTGAGCGTTCTTGGTGTTATGTTCATTATCACTCCGCTATTCTGCTTTTCTGAGGAACCAAAGACAGCTCTGACTGGGAATTCTGGGGACAGTAGAATAAACAGAAGTCATGCTTGCTTAAGCAGTACATATACTAAAACTGGAACAATACAGAGAAGATTAGCATGGGCCCCGTGCAAGGATGACATACAAAGTGGTGAAGTGTTTCACATTTTTAAGCACTGATACTATCTTGCTACTCCACCCTCATTTTTAAGCAATGAATGGAACCTATTCTTCAAACAAAATATTACATTGTAAGCTATCAACATATGTAATTATTACATATCAATTAAAAATAAGTTCTAAAAAAAGGAACAGAAGAATTATAAAGTAGACCAGGAGTAGAGTGAAGAAGAAAAGAGAGGTTTAATGTATTACTTTGTAGATGGTATCATGTCTACATTGGACACTGCACAACATTTCTTCCTATATTGGCCATGCAATCTAAGATCCAATAGGAGGGGCTTTGAACCTGCTTAGTAGTCTCAAGCTGTCAGAAGGGGAAGTGAGAAAAATAAATACAACGAAATAGGTGCCATTAAGCTCATTTACAGCACCAAGTTTTAGGTAGGTTTTCGGTTTCAGCTCTAAGATTGATGAAATTTTCAGCATGGAATAAAGACTGGGGAAGATCTCTGAGCAGTAAGGCAGGCAGGAAAACAGAATGACTTTCTAACTCTTTCTGCACCATGCTCCTAAGAGTGGCAGCAACAGGAAATAGAATGTAGACTTATTAAAAGAAGGGAGCTAAAGACAATTAATTTTATTAATGTAACTGCTTTGCTGCATATTAAAATATCCTTCTTTTGTGAAGGGGAAAGCATACTAATTTTAACGGCCCTTTGCACCTATGGTTATTATATGATTGAATATTTACTTTTTTTCTTTTCTTTTCCCCAGAAGTACCATGTGTCAATCTTCCTATCAGATATTGTACTTTAGGATAAAATTTCTGTGTGTTGTTTATAGATTTTGTCTTAAAATTTAAGATTCATATTTACTATAGTTTTAAGAACCTGATTCTTGAATAGGCATGAAGAAATACATTCAATTTAAAAGCAATGTTATAGTCCTTTAGACATATATTGAGTAGGGTCAGGAGAAATTTCAAGTTGACCTGTAGTTCTTTTTTCTGCTGCTGTCTTGTTTTGGCTACAGAATTGTTAGAATATTAGCTTTTGGTTTCAATTCAGCTTTATGGCATCCCTTCATAAATTATTTCCCCTTCTCTGTATAAAACTTTCTTCTTCATGAGCGGGGTAATTGATATGTAGAAAAATATGTGGGAATGATAAGAAGTTAGAGCTGGAGTTACGGTCAAATAGAAGGAACACAAAAATTTCCTGGGATGCAGCATGAGAGTAGCTTGGTCAGAGGAATGTTAGTCATTATGTCATATTTCTTTTCCAATTTGCTTAGCATCACAGGACTGCTTATATGGACATGGAAATCTTATAATTGGTCTTTTGGGGGCATGGAAATGTTAATAAGGAAGATGGTTTATAAAATCTTCTTCATTTTTCACCAGCCACGTCTATAATGAGGGTGGAGCAGCTCTGCAGTTACAGTAGAAGAGGTTTAGTGGAGGTCTTTATGTAGGTTAAATATACATACGACACAGGGGCTGCTTCTCCTCAGTGACAAGAAGTGTGCTGGAACTGGGTTGTACCTGCTCATGTGGGACAATTATTAAATGTTTAGGAAGCTCATCAGTTTATTGTTAAACTCTTGATAGCTTGACATTGACTATGATAGGAGTATTACATTACAAACATTAGCAAATAATACAAATAAAGGGATTTTCCCCCAATAAGACAGTTGATCAGACTATGCAATACTCAAGGAAACTGTTGACAGTGGTTACTCTGGGTTCGATAATTTTGTTGAATCATTTTAATGCTCTGTCATAAAGAAGTAACAATAATATCAAACTTTAGACTGCAGCTGATTTAAGCAAATCAGAAATAGTACTCAGCAGTATTATTAATTTTCTGTCTATTTGCTTAATGCATATTTACACCATACAAAGACTAGTCATGTATTTGGATGTTCATTGTTCAATGAACATTGTCTAGTTCAATGAACATTGTCTATTTCAGTGGAGGTTTATATTAGTTATTTATTGCTGAAAAATAAATCATCCAAAAGCTCAGTGGCTTAAAGCAGGAATAGTCATGTATTACTATAGGTGGAAATTCCAGAGTGGTAGAGGTGGAGAATTTTGACATGTGTTAGAATGAGTCTCATGTGACACTTCTGTGTCACAAAGTGGCATACAGAGGTAGGGTGGGGCTGCAGTTGCTTAGAGGCATAGCTGAGCCTGAAGAATCTGCTTCTAAGGTTGCTCCCTCATGAGGCTAGTGAGTGTTGATGAGATGACTTCTTCCTACATGGCTTTCTCCAGATTACAGGGGTATCCTTACAAGAGTGGATGACTTCCTTAGACCACTGGGTGTGATAGCCTATGTCAAGGAGCAGTGAATTCTTCATTTTAAAAAATGAGGCAGCAGAGGAGCTAAGGAGCCTTTGCAAAGTTCATGCACTGCACCTGGACGCTTCCCCCCAGACACTGCACAACTGGCTTTTGTCTTCATTTAAGTCTCTGTGAGACCCCCTTTTCAGAAAGAGATCTCCTAATATCCACTATCTTTTTCCTTTTCTAGCAATGCTTTTCCACAGTATTTATCACTGTGTGGTATAATGTTATACATTTATTTGCTTCTTTATTGTCTTTATCCTCTGTATCAGTCAGGGTTTTACTAGAGAAACAGATATAACACAAGATATACAAATGTATAAGAAATTACATGGTTGGTTTATAACAATCAGCCACAGTGTGGATGAGGAAGTGTGCAGAGGGTGTCTGCTTGCTGGAAACAAAAGGATTCAGTCCAGGGTCTGGAGTTCACTGAAGCGGTCCGTGCAAGTCCGTATCAGGAGGTCAATGGGTCTGCAGTGGAAGATTGATGTGTTTACACTGGAAGGTTGAAGGATCCAAGTCGGAAGCGGAAGAGTCTGCACTAGAAGCCAGGAGATGATGTACAAGCTGAAGGTGAAGACTGGAGCTCCTGAGAAGAGTCGAATGCCCCTGTCCTTTCTCATTTCCCTTTTATATAGGGTGACAATCCACCCTAGGGTGGCTCCTCTACATCTTAGGGTGTAGAATTGCTGAGCCAATTGCTCAGCCAAGTTTAGTTAAGCTTCTAAACTTCTCAAGTTGACACAATCAGTGAAACACTACATCCTCCATAAGAATAAAAACATCTTCAAGGTAGAATAAAGACATTGTGCTAAATTCCTGGTGCTAAGAACAGATGTCTGGATATTAATCCTATGTGTTTAAGGATGAGGGAATAATAATGCTGTCTTCATAGTTAAAGAGACTCAGATCAGTGGGAAAATTATTTGACTTCTGTGTCCAGTACTTCAGTGTTCTCAGCTAAAAACCGAGGTTGACAGGGTCTACTTCTTGGGGTTGTCTTAAGTATTTTTAAGTGACATAATGTATATAAAATACTTGTCACTGTGCCTGAACACACTAAAAATCTGCAAAATGTTAGCTATTGATATTGCCGTGATTCTTGTACTTCTTACCACCTATGACGCACTGAAGTAGAGTGAAGACCACTTGAAAGAGGTAGATCAGTAATGGAACTCATTAGAGCCTTTTCTCATGCTGACCTTCTTTGGTATTCCTCCTCCTCCTCCTCCTCCTCTTCTTCTTTTTTTTTTTTTCCTTAAAGGTCATGGACAGACTGCAGAATAAGTACGGATCCCTGTACAGAAGAGACAATGTTATTCTGAGTGGCACTCATACACACTCAGGCCCAGGAGGATTTTTCCAGTACACTTTATTTGTCCTTGCCAGTGAAGGATTTAACAATCGAAGCTTTGAGTACATGGTCTCTGGTATCATGAAGGTAGGCACAGAGTCCTAGAGGGGGCTGTTCTTTAATTTTCCTTACCGGAGTTTTAGGGGTGGTTTGGGACATTACAGAGGAACTCCTTCTAGGATGTGAGTGTGGCCACAGTATTAGCACTCACTTTGCTTTCTCCTTCCTGCCTCCATTTTGCTTTGGTTGCTGAGCTGTGGGCGATCGGGTCTGAGGCACTGACTGGTTGGAAAAGAAGTGTTCTGTGGCAGTAAGCTTCTATGTTATTATTTAAAGAAACATGTTTTTCAAATAAACCTCATAAATTATAGGGCCCCATATAGTCATGCACAAAGTCACATGAAAAGGAACCCACCAGGGGACTACAAGTAATTTTTAATAGTCCTAATATTTCCTTGTATTTCCCAAAGAGCAAGAAGGATCCAGTTGGTAAATTCACAGATAAGATTCTCTAAGCCCGCACAGCAGACCCAAACCCCACAGGGCTCCTAACCAACACCTTTAAGCTCCTCTCCCATTCTTGGCTTGAGTAGTTTGTACTCCTCTCACACCTGGTTTCTGCTTATTGCTTTTTGCACAAGATTCAAACTAAAGCTTTTCTTTATTCTTCGCCTTCCAGGTTTAGCCTCTCACGAAGTTCAGAGATCCAGCTGGCAAAGGCAGATTGCTCTTTATAGCAGTGCTTCCATAATGTGGCTAGTAATCTGTTAATAGTTTATGCAGCATATTTCATGGGTTGCTGTAAGCGTTAAATACAGAAGAACTCTAGTAACATAGGTTGGAAAATATAGTACATGACACACAGGGAGGGTAGCAGTTGTTTTGTGATTTTTTTGCCTTCAGATGCTTATTTGGTAGTGTTTAATTGTGATGAAAAATGTGTCACTCCCTGTGGCTGTCAATCAAATACGTTTAGAGAACTTTGCCTTAGGTGATGGGGGATTAAGAGGGACAGGGTGCAACCCTGACATGTTAACAAATCTTGTTTCAGTGCGGTAGAGGTCAGGTCTCCCATTTTGGCCACTTGAGATTGCAAAATGGCAAACGTTCCTAAGAGCTGAGGAGATGGAACATTTTGTGAGTTTGGCAGCTGATTGGCTCTTTGCTTCCTAAACTTCTCTCATTCTGCCTTGAAGGCTGCTTGTATTTACTTCCAGGAAAATGTGATTCTCCAGCTTTTATCCTATAGTGGAGGACTTTAACCACAGGGCTCTTCCATTTGTATTGACTAAATCATTATCCCTACTGGGAGTCTAAGCTTACAACTTTCTTTTTCTTTTACTTTTCAGAGCATTGACATTGCACACCAAAATATGAAACCAGGCAAAATCTTCATCAATAAAGGAAATGTCATTGGTGTGCAGATCAACCGAAGCCCTACTTCTTACCTTCAGAATCCACAGTCAGAGAGAGCAAGGTGAGAGGAATTGTCAGAATAAAATCAATATATTTCCTTTGAAATTTTGTTGCTATTTGATTTGTTTGTTACCTGGTAGATATGATAATTTGAGAACATGTTTGTCTAAGACAAGCAGAAATGAAAAGTGAATGTAGAAACAAGCGCCACTTTTTCCAGTCTTTGCGCTGTGCTGGCTGTCGGAGACAGTGGGTTTGTGAAGCACTCCAGGCCCTGAAATCAGGCACAGCTGTAGTCTCTACTTCATGTTCCCGCCCATCTGAATTTACTGCATTGGCTCTCAACCTCTTCATCTATAAAATGGAGATAAAAATGTGCCTAACGTGCATCTTTGTTAAATTAGTATATGTGCTGCCGAAGCAAGCACGCATCTTTGTTAAATTAATGAATAACTCTTTTAATTGTACCAAATCCAAAAGAAATTATCTTAGTCCACAAGAGTGGGGCAAGAGAAAAAAGATACAAGAATAAAGAATTTGGAAGAAAAACAGAGAAATAAAACTAATGTAACTAAATGAACAACTACAGGAGATAATTATTAGTATTATTAATATTATATGTGATGAAGCAGGTTGTGACAGAAGTGAAGTACTTGCCTACTGTGGCAGTGTACAATAATAATTTCAGTTTGACATTTTACATTTTCTGCACATTTTTCAATAGCCTTGAAAGGTAATGATTTTTAGGAAATATATGATTTTTCTTGAAAGGATGTAAAAGAACATTTAAATTATAGGTCTTGAATGATTTTGGTTTTGTGTACACCCTGCTCTTTTCTTTCTTTCCTTCTTTCTTTTTCTTTCTTTCTTTCTTTCTTTCTTTCTTTCTTTCTTTCTTTCTTTCTTTCTTTCTTTCTCTCTCTCTCTCTCTCTCTTTCTTTTCTTTTCTTTTTTATTGTGGTATTGGGGATTTAATCCAGGAGCTTGCATATACTAGGCAAGTGGTCTAACACTGAGCTTTATCTCCAGATATTTCTTTAAATTATTCTGAGACAGGGTCCCACCAAGTTGCCCAGGCTGGCCTTGACTCTATGGCCTTCCTGCCTAGCTTCCCAAGTAGCTAGGATTACAACCAAGCCCAGCCTGGCTACTCTTTTTAGATATTCCATTAAAATTTGTATGAGCAGAAGTATCAGAAACAAAACCTTTTGTAAGAAATATATATGTGTTATATAATATGACATATAAAAATATATTTCAGCTATGTTAGTTGGCTTAGGTATCCTACATTGATCACAACTGCAAACTATTTTTTTAGCTGAGGAATGAAGAATTGGATGCTGTTTACAGGACTGTTGTTTCTCAGGGGAATTGGGAAATCTGATAAGAGGCATGGTTTTTTTTGGTCTTTTTGGTGTGTGTGTATGCGTGTGTATGTGTGTGTGTGTGTGAGAGGGGGAGAGAGAGAGAGACAGAGAGTGCTTTTATTGTTTATCATATGTGTGGGCTAGTCTCTGATATCGACCTCAATAAGTTTTTTTGCTTGTTTTTTTTTTTTGCGGACCAGGTATTCTTCAAACACAGAGAGGGAAATGGTAGTCTTGAGAATGGTTGATTTGAATGGAGCTGAGATGGGCTTTATCAGGTAATCTATTTTCTTTTTTCCTTCCATTTTTTTTTTTTTTTTTTTTTTTTTTTGGTGAATCTGTCTATGTATCTTTCCTTAATTACAGGAAGGAAATAGACTAGAATAGTACCAGATGTGATTAAGCCCAGGATACTACAGATTGAATAGATGTGCCTGGGATCCAGTCATGGAGCCTTGGGAAATGTTCTCAGCTGCTTGTGGCCTAGTGCTTCCCTGGTGAAATGTGGCACATGTAGTGTGACCTAAGTAAGGGATCTGTAGGAAGAGTTCAGCACGGTATCTGCAATGATACACAGACTCAGGAAACATTAATGCTTATTTCTATATCATGGTCACATGTGTGCCGGCCAGTGCATGTCTGGCCACATATGTGCCAGTGGTGCATGGCTGTAATCCTAATAGCTAAGAGGCTGAGGCAGGAGAATCAGGAGGTCAGCTGGGGCTATACCATGAGAGTCTATTAAAGAAAACTAAAAAAAATTCTCATATATACTGGAGATTGAACCCAGCATCTTTGCACTGAGCTATATCCCTAGTACTTTTTTATTTTGTGACAGTGGCTTACTAAGTTGTTAAGTTTCTCAGGCTGGGCTCAGTCTTGGAGTCCTACCTCAGCCTCTCAGAGTGCTGGAATTTCAGGTATGTGCCACCACATTCAGCTGACAGATAGCGCTTGATAAAATGAGAAAATAATCTGACCAACCAGGCAGAAGGCTATGGGTTTGAGATTATTTACCTAATTTTTTCTAAAAGCAGTAAGTCTGGTGCAGAATGGTGCCAATTAGGGCTAGAAGCAGGACTGAGGCCACCAAAAGGATGCAGAAAAGGTTAAATTACAACTTGGTACAGATTTTGGCTCCATTATCTGGCAGTGACAGCATGTAGGAAACACAAAGTTTTGGTTTTCTTCTAAAGAAGGTATTTGCATTCATATGTGATTTTGGTCCCTGCTATTGAATTGATTCAGGAATTGACTAGGCGAGTAACATAGTTCTAGTCACCTTGACCTGTGAACTTTCAAAGGATGCAAGCATGCCCTAGGGAAATGTGTGATAACTCTTGAGTGCTAAAGTCAAATGGCTTGGGTTCTTTTCTTATTAGCTATGTGAATTTAGACTTGTGGGACTTCTCTGTCTCTCAGTGTGCTAGTCCTTAAGCATTTCTGAGCATACTAGAGGATGAAGCAAGTCCTTTAAGTATTGGTAATAAGTAGACTGATGATGAGGTATCTGTGACATGAAATTATGAAAATATCTATATGAAAGTTTCTATGTAGGCACCTTTTCTTCAAAAGCATGGGGGAGCAAGAAATATAGGGAGAGGAGAGAAGAGAGAGGGAGTAGAAAAAAGAATTGAAAGACAAAATAATGAACACAGAGCTTTGCAAATGGAAAGGGGACCAAGAGTTGGAAGGACCAGGGAGGGAGAGAAAGGGTAGGAGATGAAGAAGGAAGAGAGAGAGAAAAATGCTGCTGTATGGGTCAGTGTAAGACTCATTGGTCCATATCATAAATTCATTGGTTGATTGATTTCTACCTAGAACTTAGCTTGGAATTTCTACATGTCAGATTTGCAATATGTTTTTGGCATCAATTCCGATGAATAAAGCATAGTTTCTATACTGGCTAGTGGGGTGATTGGAGCAGCAGACAAGAAAACAGACAAATAACCCTAATATATTGAGATGATCAATACTACTGTCATTTGAGTATAAATAATACTGCAGACTTTTGAGGAAGTAACCCTCAGCTCTTCCTGAGAGCACTATGGAAAGTTTCTGAGAGAAAGTGACATTTGAGCGGAACAACGGAATTTCTCACGGAGTCGTGAAATACTGAGTTGTGAGGCCAGAGAGCATGCTATGGCAAAGAGTGGGTGGTAAGTGAACTGGAGAGGAAAATAAGTAATAGACTACAGAGCATGTTAGTATGGAATCTGATTAGGAGAAGGCAGGAATAAAAATATATAGCCCTTACTAATTACATTGTGTATCTTACATTTGTTGGAAGAAGATGGCTTTCCCTCCTAGTTCTTTTGAGGGAAGGTCTTGCTTAGTTGTGGCCTTCTCAATATAGTTCTGGAAACATTAGCCAGAGCAATTAGACAAGAGAGAGAAATAAAAGGAATAAGGATAGTAAAGGAAGAAGTTAATTATCATTATTTGCAGATGACATGATACTCTACATAGAAGATCCCCAAAACTCCACCAAAAGACTCCTAGAATTAATAAGCAAATTCAGTAGTGTAGCTATATACAAAGTCAGCACTTAAACACTAATAGCATTCCTGTACACAAACAGCAAACTCACTGAGCATGAAATCAGAGACATTACACCCTCCACAATAGCATCCACCAAAATGAAATACTTAAGAATCAATCTAACAAAGAAAATAAAGGATCTATACAGTTAAAATTACAATATTCTGAAAAAAAATTGAAGAAGATTTCAGAAAGATATTCCTTGCTCCTGGATAGGAAGAATTAACATTGTGAAAATGGCCATACTCCCACTGTTATGCAGATTTCAAATCTTGATCAAAATACCATTAGTATACCTCACAGATCTAGAGAAAACATTCCTACAATTCATTTGGAACCAGAAGAGACCTAGAATTGCAAAGGCAATTCTGGCCATCAAAGGAAAGGTAGGAGGCAACACAATCCTTGACTTGAAATTGTACTACAAAGTTACTATGATAAAATCAGCATAGTACTGGCAAAAAAAATAGATGTGTGAATCAGTGGAACAGATAAGAAGATGCAGACACAACTACAAACACACTCAGCCATCTTATCTTTGACAAAGGAGGCAAATATGTTCACTGAAAGAAAGATAGCCTCTTCTATAAATGGTGCTGGAAAAATTGGCATTGCACATGATGTACACAAACTACATCCCTGTCTATCATCATGCACTTAAGTCAAAATGTATTAAAGATCTAAATATTAAGACAGAAACAGTGAATCTACTGGAAAGGAAAGTAGGTAGAAATCTTGAAGACATAGGGGTAGACAGAGAGTTCATGAACAAAAACTAAACTACACGGGAAATACTTCAAAATATCAACAACTAGGATCTCATTTTATTAAAAAGTTTTTGCACATCAAAAGAAATCACCAACAGAGTGAAAAAAACCCCATGAATTGGGAAAAAATTTAGGCAGCTGTCCCTCAGACAAAGGACTTCTATCTTGAACATATAAAGAATTTAAAAAAATCAGGCCCCCAAAATTCAAAGACCTAATCTAAAAATGAGCATCTGAGATGAAAACACATTTCTCAGATGAAGAAATTCAAATGGCAAATAAATATATGAAAAAGGTTCAACATCAATGATCATTCAAGAAATGCAAATTAAGACAAAACTGAGATTCCATCTCACCCCAGAAACAATGGCTGTTATTAAGAATCAACAAATAACTAATGCTGGTGGGACTGTGGGGAAAAATGAACGCTTTTCCATTGTTGGTGGGAGTGAGACTGGTACAACCACTGTGGAACTCAGTATGGAGAATCCTCAGAAATATAGGATTAGAGGTCCCATTCGACCCAGCTGTTCACCTTCTGGTTTTTTTTCCAGAAGAAATGAAAACATCATTCCAAACGATATATGTGCACCCATGTTCATAGCAGCACAATTTGTCATAGCTAAATCTTGGAAACAACCCAAATGTTTATCAACTGAGGATTGGATAAAAAAGATGTGGTATTTTTATACAATGGAGTATTACTCAGCTATAAAAAAGATAATCTCTGGGCTTTTATAGGTAAATGGATGCGACTAGAGACCATACTCATAAGTGAAACAAACCAGACTTGCATGTGAAAACATAATATTGTCTCTCTCATGTAAGAAACTGAAAGAGTAAATATGATCCAAAAGGTACAATAGATACAATGAAAGGGAAAGAAACTGTTCAAAAGGAAAGAACAACTGAGATGGGGTAAAAAAGAAAAGAAGCAATGGGGAAAAGATATGTATATATACAAAAGACAGCTAAGATAACTGTACTACTAATTTCTATTAGTTCATTGAAGGAACAGTTAGTGCTTATATTGTTTGATCAATTTTGCATGCCTGTATCTGGTAATCAGAGCAACAACTTTGATAACAATATGCAATATAATAACTATAGTTAATTTCCTAATATTTTGTTTTGAAATTCTGTATCATTGTTATTGTTTTTTTCTCTCTTTAAAATAATAAAAAATACACTCCAAAGGAGTAGGAGATTTTGATATCAATTTTCTACCTGAAATGCAAAAGGAAAGAATTAGGCACCCCCTTTTAATTCTACTTGATTTCTATATCCTCAAAGTGTCCTTTGAGTAGACTCCACTCCAGGGAGGTGGATGCCATCTGAAGAAGGACTAGAAGATAATCCACCCTTAAACTAGTGTGTAATTTCATCTTCCCAGAAATCTTACTTGTGTAGGTGTTTTTATAAATACAAGTTACAATTGATCTCAGCCATAACAGCTCATTTAAAGAAGCATTACTTAATAGTAAACTAATGTTTTCTAGTTCTTTGAAAGAGAGCAAATACCAAAAAGGAGGTGAAAGTAGTTGGAACACTTCTCCGCCTGCAAAGGAGATCATCTCTAAAGAGAGACAGTCAGATAAAAATGGCTCAGAGAAAAATCCTGCCCCAGGCCCTAGGGTGAAGAAGCCTCTAAGACATTCCTGTCATCTACCTAATCACCTGGGAAACCATTTCTAGCAATAAGACAAGACTATACCTTTTTTTTTGTCCTTTTAAGATAGGGTTTTGCTATGCAGTTCAGGTTGGCTTTGCACTCACTTTGTAGCCCAGGCTGGCCTTGAACTCTCAGCATTCCTTCTGCCTCAGCCTCTCAACTGCTGGGATTACAGGTATGTGCCACAATGCCCAGCAAGGCTATGCCTCCTAAATCCATTTAAAATTTTTTATATGTCTGAAGTTCACAAGTAAAATTTATATCCATCACCTAGCAATCACAATTTACATGTTAGCAA